ATGCATGTCAGAGAAGCAAGGAAGAGATGAGCATATGAGGAGGGATAAGGAGTGGACAAGTGGGGTCACAATTTTAAACAGGGTCAACTTCATTGAGAAGGTGATGTTTGAGCAAAAACTGGACAGTGAAGCAATTAGCCATGTGGATATCTGAGCAAGGAATCCAGATAGAGGGAATAGGAATGCAGATGATCTAGAGCAAGAGCGTCCCTGGAGTATTTGAGAAGCAAGAGGAAAGTCAGCGTGGCCAGAGCCAAGTTAACAAGGGGAGAGTTGAAGGTGATGAAACCAAAGGTCAACAAGAGCCAGATCTTTACCCCTTATTATAGCACAGATTTTAAAAATAATATCTATACCCCCAAAATACCTGATATAAAGTCATATTTATGTACACTTAATTCTAGGATTTGGGAAAAATCAAGGCAGATTCTGTTTGCTAAAATGTGCATTCGGTAATGAGAAATAGAAGGAGATGGAACAGGAAGGCCCTCCTTGTGGTCCTTCCAATGTTTGTATCCATTTAGAACTGGAGCTCCCTGTACAAGATTTTGGCTTCCTCAGTTGGCAACCCTCCCCGTCAGCCCCACCTTGTCCATTGTGGCCAGTCATGGGACTATCTGCTGCAACCACCAACCACCCAGTGTACTCAGGGTCGATTTCAGGATCCTCTCTGGAATACACTCCCCTGCTCACTGATTGGTCCAGAGGTGGTCACCTGACTGAGCTTGGCCAATAATTCCCTTCTCTGCTTGTTTTTCTTTTTTTGAAACAGGAAATCAGCAAGATAGTCAAAATAGTCTCTTGCTGGCATAGGATCTATAAAATAAAAAGAAAATCAGTATCTACTGGAAGCCATGTGTGGGGAAAAAAATGTACATGTGTGTGGAAAAAGTCTGCTTCTAGTGAGACAGAATGAAAGGGACTCTGAGAGAGGAAGGGTGAGAGCGCCCTGGGTTCCAGTTGTCTCAGGCTGCCTCCTTGCCACTCCTGCTGGCTGGTTGTTGAAGCTTGCCTTGGATTCTGAGGGCAATACAATTCCTTTCAAGCCTCAGCTTGTTTGATTCAGGTTCCTCTCATGTGCAACCTAGATAACCCACTGCCTATTTCTTTTATCTTTGAAGTTACTCAGAGGTATCTACACAGAGTTTCATTTTTAACAACCTCCCACCTGCCTTCAATTTAATTTCCTTTAGAAAAACTCTGGCCATGAAATCTGTACTTCTATGGTCTAGGATAGTTTTTCCGAAAGTGTGTTTTGTGAGCTCCTCCATGGAAAAGATTTCCATGGACAAAGGCATTTGGAAAATAAATATGGCATGCAATATTTCTCTCTTGGAGATTCATAATGTAGCATATTAAAGAATTCCTGCAAAGAATAAATGTGCATAACGCTGTCAAATACGGACTCTCTGGATTCTTTTCTGACCCTGGGTCCTTTTTATTTATATAACACATAATATCACCAACTCCTGATGCTCCAGAGGGTCCATTTTGGGGTCCACATGAAACTGAGTCCACCTTCTTTAAAATAGCTTATTATCGGGGTGCCCCACGCAGAAATGTTTGTCAAAGGAACCCCTTGATGTGGGATCTTATCAGCCTGGAGGAAGGGATAGTTTGGGTAATGTTCATAGCATCACCTTCTACTCACTAAGCATACAGGTGATGCCTTTATCGGACTCACTCATTGGCACCATATGAGTCAATGGTGGTCTGACAAACCATTGCTACTTCCCGCAGAGGTCCTGCCTGTTAGTTGGAATTACATCTGGAGAGGTTCCCTTGCTGCTTCCTTATCTTTCTGAGAGGTGAGTTGTTTGTAAACCAGGATGAGACTGTATCAAAGGCTCTCTTTGAGCAGAAATGGGGCTTCCAAGTGTTGAATGGTCCAAGACCCCCATCACAGATGTGGGATATCTGGAATATTCTGTCTCTGGGATATTTGGACTCACCTCCTGGCGGTCATTACTACCTTTCCCCTGTTTACAGTTTGCAAAGAGCACTCATTTGAGCCTTTAACCCATCCTGCAAAGTGTGGGCTTTATTCATCTCTATTTTATAAATATGGAAACGGAGGCTCACCCATTTTGTCCTCAGTCACACACACAGGGAAGGAAAACCTGGAGCTGACCTTGGGTCTGTCTGGCCCTACCATGCTATTCTCTCTGTCCTGTTACTCTGCCTCCAGCAACATGCTTCCAGTGGCTACTCCCTCAATAGCCACATTTCAATTCCTTTTTTTTCCTACCATCACACACATAGCTCCTATGAGGACCTGGGTCCTTCTCCTGGGAATGAGAGGTGGGACTGTCAAGGAAGCAAGATGGCCTCTGTGGGGCCATGTGGCTTGGCACTTCAGGAAGGTTGCCTTCTGATGACAGTAGCAGGGCCAGACCTGGCTGGGCTCACAGGCCTGGGGACCAATGACCAAGCCATCAGAAGTGCCTGTGCCTCCTCAGGTGGCTTCACAGATAAGCATCTATCACCTGCCAGGACCCACCTCTCATCCTTCAGCAGGGTGCTGGCTTTATTCGCACCCATGTGGGATTCACTCTGCACCCCTGCCAGCCCAGGAGATAAGTAGCCTTGAAGTAACCAGAGACTTCAGTGCTCAGTGGCTTCACAGCCTGAAGAAAGGTACAGTGGAGGAAGCCTTGATCAAGAACTCAGGTGTTAGATCTCAGTGACCTGGAGGAAGAGAGCTAGCCTCAGCCTCTTTCTCTAATGGTGATAGGCAGCTTTGCCTGTCACTCGAGGCCATGGAGAGGGAAAGGCCAAGAATGAGGAATATCACAGCCCCAGAGAAATGTGGGAGGTGGCTGCAAAAATCTTGGCCATGAATGTACTGCCAACTTCAAGTGTATCATGACTTCCTACCAGGCCTCTGGGAAAAGAACAGGTTTGGACTAGTGTAGATAGTCTCAGATATTCCTTCCTGCACTGACTGTGGTTTGAGGGGGCAGAAGGTACCCTCATAGGGTGGCTTTTTGGTCATATCCCTTTCTATCAGTGGCCAGTGCTTGGCCCAAGGCCAGGTATCCACAGGGAGGTGTGCTATGTGAGGATGTCTGTGATGGAGGTCCTGGCATTGAGAATGTGTGTGTATTTGTGTACATATGCATGTGTATGTGCATATGTCTATTCATATATATGTGTGCATGTATGTGTGCGTGTATTTGGGCGTGTTTGTGTATGTGTGTGTGTATGTGCTTTGACTCTTGAATCAAGGTAACAGGCTGGGAAATCTGTTACCATGGAAGGACATCACTAACTTCTGCCTTGGGGGTGAGGTCTCCAGGATTCAATTTTTTTCCTTCTTTCTCTTCTTTCCCACAAGTGATTCAGTAAGCACATCTATTTTAGTGTCTGCAGGAAGGGCCTTGCTTTGGGGACCCAGACTCCAGGACCCAGGGTTGTTTGAAGGCTCTGTGGTCACAGGATGCAGCTGGGCCTCAGGATGTCCTGGAAAGCCAGGCCTGTGTACCAGCTCTTGGGGGTGCTGGAGCTCAGCAAGAACACAGACCTTCATTCAGTTGCATGTGGGGCCTGAAGGGAGGGGCCCTTAATTTACAAGAGTGGACAGGGTCCACGGAGCATCTACCCAGCAAACACTGACGTGTCTCAGCGCACGGGAGCTGCCGCAGGGCGCTGCTGAAGTAATGCGTGTGGGGTCATCTTATTTTGAATTGAAGGTGCAGGGGACTAAGATCGTGTGAGGCCAGTGGTCATGCTCACTTGTCTCATTGGGGAACTCAGATGCAAGGTGCAGGGAGCAAGGAAGAGCAGATGGTGGGAGAGAGCTTGGCATCTGCAGCCAGCTGTCCTTGGGGGTGGCTGGGAGGTACCCTGGAAGGGGAGGCTAGACGTCTCCCAGTGGGAGGCATCACTAGATGGGGCCAGCAGGATGCCGGGCTGGGCTGCTTGGCCTCCACCCCTTCCTCACTTCCCACTGAGGGTCCAGGGTCTCCCTCCTGCTGGATCTCCTCTCCCCTGTCCCCTCCCTGGGCTCATCTCTTGGCCCCCTGGTTCCCCCCATTATGCCTTGCGCTCTGCTTGATTTTGACTTCAGATCTATTTTGTATCCCTGGTTCCCCATCTTGGGCACAACGGCTTGACCTTCTCTTCCTGGTGAAATTGCAGAGGCTCCCAGCATTCCTTGGCCTATGGCTGCTTCACTCCAATCTTGGCTTTGGTCATGACATTGCTTTCTCCTCTGCCTGACCTTCCTGTGCCCTCTTACAAAGATCCTGGTGATGATAACAGGCCCACCCGGATAATGCAGGACAATCTCAGGATCCCATTCAAATACCCTGCATAGGAGAACACTGTCCCTGAGCCCCGTCCTCTGTAATTGTATCTCCTCTGCTAAGCTGTGATCAAGGACCTGGGTTTTTTCACCTTAACACCCTTACTTGGGTGCACAACTTGAGAGCATACATGGTTAATGAATAGTTTGCAAAATAAGAAGTCAGAAATGAATGCATGAAAAAAGTTTTAAGGCCCAAACACATGGGTCCCCAGGGGCTCGCACAGGCATGGTGCTGTGTCCCTGAGCTCATGACCTTTGGTTTTCCAACACCTCTTGCAGTCCCTTCTCCTTCCCCCAGCGGGCAGGAGTTTGCTCTCCTTTTTGGATGGATGGTCCAGCCGGGCGTATTCAGGACAGCTGGGAGAGGAGGAGGCTGGTCTAGCCCGACCACAGCTGTCCTTAGAGCCTTCCTTCAGGCCTCCTCTTCAATACCTCCCCTCCCTCATCTCACCTTCCCACTCTAGTCTTCCCATCATCTGCTCCCCTCCCACCTAGAGAAGTCTGAGGAGACCCAGGGCGACACTCCCATGCCAGGGACATCTTCACCATTCGCTGGCCTGTCGCCAACCCCTTGCTGGACAGCAGCCCTTCTAGGGAGGGCCAAGACAGCCCAGCTGGGCCACACCAGTACTTCTGAACCAGACCTGCACCCTCGCCACCACCCAGAGCCCCATCCCTGGGCCCCGCTCACCTGTCTCTCCCCAGATGGGCAGGTACTCATCTTGCTGAATGTCCAGCATGATCTCCAGCCCGTTGCCCGTCCCCCCCTTGACCGTGGTGAGCAGAGGCTTGCCATCCTCGCCTGAGTTAAACATGTAACACTTCCCATATTTTGTAAACACCTGAAGGAAAGAAAAGAGAGAGAAGCACATGGTGACTTCGCACTGGGCTCCAGAGATGGGTGAGACCCCAGAAGTCCCACAGCAGGCTAGTGTCCCCACAGCCCATTCCAATCAACCCCTCTTGGAGTCCAATGATTTCTCAACCTGACCAATGACTGGACTTTTGCCAAGTGAGATTCTGGTATCAAAGGATCAATCTGGACACCCTTTGGGGCTTGGCTTGTTAAATGTGATCTGCTCTCCTGGAAGGTCCACTTCTAAGCATCAAATATCATCTCTAAGTTTCTGACCCTTGAACCCACATAGCTGTGTCCTGGGCTCCAGACATGTGGATCCCACTGTTTGGTGTCCCACAGATGCTACATGCTCAGCATGTCCCAGACAGAACAGATCTCCTTCCTCGGCTTCCCCACTCCAAATGGACAGTTGTCTTATACTCTGTCCCAGGGACAGCACCACTACCTGCAGAGGGGCTCAAGCCAGACTCTCAGAGCCACTGTCCACTCTTCCTTATCCCTATGTGCAATCAGCCAGCAAGGTCCCATCACGCTCTCTCTAAATATGCCTCAAATCTAGCCTTTTCTATCCTGCTATAATGTAGGACCCAAACAATTCTTGCGTGGGCTTCCCTGGTTTCCTAGCAGGACTCCTGGATTCCAGACAATGTTGTCAGCCCAGGCCCTAAGTTAACTGTGGCTCCCTCTTTGTGAAATGCAGACCTGATCATGTTACTCCAGTGCTAAGAGTCTGACGGGCTGCCCCATCCCCTTTAGTCTAAAATCCAGATCCTCCATGCCTAGTCTTGTAGGATGTGCTCTGCCTGCTCCTTCTCCCTTCCGCCCTCCTGGCTCCCACCAGAGTCCTCAGGTGCCTACCAAAAATAAACTCAGGGACTGCATCTGCTTGCTTACTTTTGTGGCTTTCTCTGGTGGCTAGCAGTTTCTGTCACTTGGGGGTGCTCCACAAGTATATGGCAAAAGAATGAATGGTCCAAGGAATGAGTTGGGGGTGGAGCCTGAACAATTTGCACCACCTCCAGCCATACCTGGCTGCTTCACACACTTCCGGTTTCTACTTGCTGCTTCTGCTGCCCCTACATCTTTTGCTTGGTGAAAGCAAGTTTACAAAGAATCATGTGAAGGTATGGAGAAGCCCAGGGCAAGGAATGCGGAAATCTTCCTCCAAGTTTTGGCATTGCTCTCTATTGGATGTGTGACATTGGGTGGACGAAATAAACCCTCCAAGCCTCAACTTCTCCATCTATCAAATGGGGGTTATGGTCCTTGCATTTTCCACCTCTCAAGGTTATCGAGAAGATCAAATAAGGCAATACGTGCAAAAATGCTTTGAAAACCAGAAAAGCTTTCTACAAATGCAATGGGTTATTATGATTATATAACTGCTTTGGAGCCTCGTGCTGAAGCCAAATTATATCCAGCAAAATTGGCTGGAATAGAGCCAAGCCAAATGTATTGGCTTCCTTCAGACACTGAGTTTTGGGTCCAGGACCCCCTCTCTCCCTGACCATGCCCCCCTGCATGTCCCATCCTGGAGCATGGAGGCTGTAGGGAGCCCCTTTGGCTTCTCATCCTTAGTGCAGGGCAGGTAAATAGCAGAGGTGAGCTGAGACTGCCTTCCTCATGCAGATCTTGATAATGGATGCAAGGAAGGAAGATGGTCTTCTACCATGTACCAAACACTGTGCTAGACATGTTTCCTGTAGTATCTCATTTAACCCTCACAACTATGACCATGGGTGGGCACTGCCGTTCCCATTGTGGAGAGGAGGAAACCAAGAGAGGTTAAGTGACAGCTAGTAAGCAGAGAAGCTGGGCTTCAGCTCCCTGTCTTTCCTATTCTAACACGCACACTCTTTCTGGGTGTGCTGTCCTTAACCAGTGGAAACATACCACCACCCCCTGCCTTACTTTTTCTATGTCATTCATTATTCACATCCATGAGCTCCCACCTAGTGCAAGGGTTATGAAGATTTCATAAAAACAAAAGAAAAATACAAGGCCTACTGTCTGCCTTCAGGACTTAGAAGAAGGGCCAGAAAACAGCAGATTCTACATTTTTCTCCACTCTACCAAACAGCTCTGAGTCCCTGGATAGCTGCACTATTTCAGGACAACCAAGAGTTACTCTCCCAGCTTCATGGTGTGGGAGAACAGCTGGAATTAAGGCAAAGTCTAAAGCAAAGAGTCTTTCAAAGAACCAAGTTTTATCATCACGACTGCATATAATGATTGAACTTGTATAATGAACTTGTCCCCTGGAGAGATGCTCTTGGGGACCACTGTAATGAACAGATAAGAGCATTTTATAGCTAGCACGTCCATTGTAAGGGATCGGACACATCTGGAGTGACATCTGGGGTGTTCCAATAAGACCTTTTTCTTGTAGATACTCTAAATATCCTGTCTTCAAAATTACTTGGAATACAAATTGGTCTATGGTCATGAAGAGGTCTGTAAGTAAATTTCAGCTTAGCTTCAGGTTATTGCAAATTCCAAGCTCCTGGACTTCTCCCTCCTGCTTCCTTTGGTCTTTCATCTTCGGGACACTGGGCTGGGGTTTGAATGCAGTGTCTGCTCACAAAGTCAGCTGTGATCCTAGTCCTGCCTAAACATGCTGGATATTGATGGCAAAGGTATTGATCCTCCCTAAGCAATCAAGGGTGACAGAGTGTGAGAGCGGAGAGCAGGCTTGGACATGATCTCACTTACTTACTTCACAGGTAACACAAGGAAGACGTCGGAGAGAAGTAGCGACTTGCCCAAGGTCATAGAGCAAGGACATGTCCCACTGTGACCCTGACTCCTAATTCAGCCTGTTCTTCCTCTACTCCACCCTTCCTCAGCTTCCTCACTGATAAGAAGAGCTGCAAGATGCAGGGGCAGCTCTGGTCTCTCTCATCTGAACTTCAGTGGGTCATTGACGGGGGATCTGCTCTGCAGACACCGAGTGGGAGCTGAAGCCTCGTGAACTGAAGTCTTTCCCTACAGAGGACGCAGTGGACGGGTCCTCAGGTCCTTGCAGTGGGAGTGAACAGAGACTTTCTTGCTCGCCATCTCCACAGCCCTTACCAGAACCCCTCCTAGCCCAGGTGACAGCTCCTGCCGGTGCTCAGGTGTCAGGCTGCTCTTTCCCATCCCTCCTCCTGGGGACAGGGTGCTTGGGCAAGCTCACAAGTATACAAGTGTGAGCTGACCCAGGTCAGCGTTGGTCAGCGGTGGGGAGCCAGAGGTTACTAGAGCCAAGCCTGACAGATGGCCAAGTTAGAGTCTCCAATGACCAACTTCTTTATCAAGTCAGGACCACCACTAGGAGGCAGCCTAAAGCCCTCTGCTGTTCCTGTTGCATTAGGAGCGAGTCCCAGATCCTCTCTGCAACCCTGCATGGTTGTATCCATTGCTTCCTCCCCGCCATAGGCTTCCCACATACTTCGGCTCCCAGGAGGTCGGCAAGCCTCCCCCTGTGAGCCTTTCCAATGCCATTTCTTCTGCTGACCATGTTCTCCAAGCATGTGCTGTGCCTGGCCAGACCCTGATCAGGCTTCAGCTTGAAAGCCACTTCCTCAGAGAAACCCTGTTTGACGACGCCCCTGGCTGGCTCCCAGCCTCTACTTAAGCTGAGACTTTTTGTTTTACAACCTCCTAGCCCTTCATTTTTCTTTCATAAGTGTATATCAGTGTGCGAGACGAGATGGTTATTTATGTGCTTGTTTGTTGAAGTTCTGAACTAGAGCGGAAGCTTCAAGAGGGCAGGGACCTCTGCACACTGTCTCTATTTTATTGAATGGATGAGCAAATAAACGAATGGGCTCCAAGGTGCGGCTGCCCTGCGTCCTCTTGCCCACCTATGGCAGATGCCCTCAGCATGGCAGGCCTCTCCTGGTTCTCGCCTGGTTGGTGCTGACATCTTACTGAGCTCCCCATTTCTCCTTTCTCCACAGTGGCCTGCCCAGCATCCTCCTTCATTGCCCCTGAGATTTCCTGTTTGTTTTTCCATAAAGGTATCAAAGGAAATGATCCTTTTTTAGGAACTAAGATGGTGGAGGACGATTTACCTTTCTGGATGCTGGTGAAGGAGCTCAGAGGAAGCCCAGCGCCGCTGGCCGCGTGCCTTTGCCGGCCTCCCTGCCTGGGCTGCTGAGACGGCTGCTCCTGTCTGGCTTTTCTGAGGATTATTTTCCTCTGGGCTCAACATCAAAGGCTACTGAGCTATTTACACAGAGTGCAATTTTGCTACAAACTTGGGACAAGATGAGGCTCTCCTTCCCCATTTCAGGGCATAATGACATGTAAGTGTAACACATGCTTCGAATTTACGCCTTATTGCCCCAGCCAGAAAATACAATTTATTTAACTCCGGACTGTCAGGCTGAGCTCCCTATTCTTCAGACCTGCCATTCTCCTGGGCATTTCTCTGCCTTCCTGGGAAGAGCTGACAGCCCCATTGTGGATGGCAGGCTGGTTTGCAGGTTGCTAAGAGTCTGGAATTGCAGAGTTAGATTGGTCTGTAAAGAATTGAAAAAGGTGCCTATTTCAAATCTGGGTCCCCAGGAGTGAGGGAGCCTTCTGTGATGAAAACAGCCCCAAGACCATCATCTTCATGGCTAATATTTGCAGAGGGCAGTACTATGTAGAGTCTGGGTCTATGTATTTCTTCAACTTTCTCAATGACGATGAAATCAGAGGGAGGGAACTAACAAGTCCTGAGCCTCTACTCTGTGTTACCCACCTCTTGGCACTTTCATAGATACTATCTCACTCTTAGTTATGGTCCCAACCATAATTATATATGATGGGGAGGCATCTTATAGTCACATCCCCATTTTACAGTTGAAGAAACTGAGGCTGCTGAAGATCATGGTGCCATGAGTTAGGCTGGAACTCATGGGTGAGACCTTTCCATTCAGGAGGTTAAAAGGAGGGAACGATGGGATTTTGAATAGGGAATGATCGGATTTTGAATCAGGCAGGATGGGATCCAGG